TCACATGACCAAGAATGCTGTTTTTTTCCTGAATATCTGCACGATTACAAATGTAATATTGATTTTATACAACAGCTCAATAAATAAGAAGTTAATATTATATTACATTTTAGACACAATATTGTTAGTACTGTCTGTTTTTGCTCAATTTCGCCAATGGCTCCACACAAAGCCACTGCAGAACTGTTGTGCATCTCCGAGCAACACACGGCGGTGTTTCATTACTGAATGAATCCATGTTTTGTTTTTTTTGTGTTTTTTTTTAAGAATCCATTGAGCCAATGATTTAGTGACCCGTTCCGCCGGAACGCCTTCCGCGTATGACAGACACCGGAAGTGAGAGAAAAGTGTTTATTACGTCTGAAATATGGATATTTTTCTTATGAAAACGCATGGATTTGCTACAGGAGGCCTTTATTCACCTCCCGGAGCCATGTGAGGCACGTTTTATTATGGATGTGCGCACTTTATTTGATGACTTGTGAACAGTTGAACAGAAACACCCGCCGACTGCAATGATAGAGCTTGGAATAGCCAGGACAATTTTTAATATAACTCCGATATGATTCCTCTGAAAGAAGAAAGTCATATATACCTAGGATGCTTCGAGGGTGAGTAAAACACAGGCTAATTTTAATTTTTTGGTGAACTAACCCTTTAACAAGTGCCCAAGTATATTTGGAGAAACATGTTTGCTTTTATAATTTTTATCCTCTTATACTTTTTTTTGTAATCCACCTGAAATAAATGAAACCATCCGGGATCGATTGACTAGTGGAAAATCTCCCGTCGCCCTACACATTTCATATCTGCTCGTTCTGTGTGCTCGAGAACTGTTTACTCCCGCTGACATTCCTGCAGAGCAGAGACGCAGTGGATATTTCACAAAGACAGGGCTCGACAGTGCAGGTGCTTCAGTCACATTTGCGACTAAAATAGATGTGTGCGAACTGTAAAATGTATTTAGGAGTATGTGTGTGAATAAAGCAAAATCCCTTGTTTGTAAAACAAAAGTCTTAATGATCATTTTAAGACATCTTATATTTTGGGGATGGAAAAACAAATCGCAATACAGCCTATTGATGATTAAACTTCAAAAGGCTATTATTTCATTAAAAAAAGAGCACTGCACGTTGCAGTCTCACAAGGTGTTCTACAGGCTCACGCAACAGCGCTTCAGACTGCTTCAAAGTGATTCTCAATCAATGAATAGCACACATTTATGCCAAGCGATTGCTTATGAACTTATGAGTTGATAAATTATCACAATGTCTATTTTATGATCTTTACATGATATGTTTTAGACGGTTGTAAGAATGCATATTTTATCTCTCATCTGAAGGATCAGCCCACTATAGTGTATACATTTCAAAATAAGGGTCCTGATGTTTTTTGGGCTTGTTTAAATTTTAGTTTTTTTTTTTGTTTTTGTTTTTATGGAAGCCCGTTTCCGCCACTGAATTAAAAAAAAAAAAAAAAAAAAGGTTAAAAAGGTTACTCACAATTCTGACTTTTTTTTAACAAAGCCCTCCCTGGGCTTGACTGGGGATCAGGAGCCCTCCCTGGGCTTGACTGGGGATCAGGAGCCCTCCCTGGGCTTGACTGGGGATCAGGAGCCCTCCCTGGGCTTGACTGGGGATCAGGAGCCCTCCCTGGGCTTAACGGGGAAACGGGGAATCAGGAGCCCTCCCTGGGATTAACGGGGAAACAGGAGCCCTCCCTGGGCTTAACGGGGAAACAAGAGCCCTCCCTGGGCTATACTCGGAAACAGGAGCCCTTCCTGGGCCGAACTGGGGATCAGGAGCCCTTCC